GTCTCTAGAGGGACATCAACTCTCGGATGCGCAGCATGCGTATCGCAGAGAAAAATCAACGGAAACAGCGCTACACGTAGTTGTACATCATGTCGAGAAGACATTACAACACAAACAATACACGATGGCAGCCTTCCTAGACATCAAAGGCGCGTTCAATAACGTGAACCCCGACTCTATCCTGGGCTCTCTCAACTTGTTAGGTATTGAGAGAGGCATCAGAGAGTGGATCGGGGTCATGCTAAAGAGCAGGACGATCACAGCCGAACTGAGTGGAACTCACTTCAAGCGGACTGTGAAGAGAGGCACACCTCAGGTATGTCGCCCCTACTCCGGCTCACAAATCTCAATATGGGTGGAGTTACAGCAGTTGCATACGTAGACGACGAAGTACTGCTATATCAGGACCATACCCTGACGTTATTAGCGAAATATTGACGGGTGAGCTAGGCCGATTAAATAAATGGGCAAAAAACTGCGGACTAGATATCAATCACACTAACACAGAACTTACGCTTTTCACACGGAGAAGGAAGATACCCTTCAACATTGCTTGAGGGAATACGGCACCAGGCACGGCAAGATTCTTGGTAGCAGCGGCATAAATACAAACGTTAAGACCGACTACATGATCGCGGACATGAACTTCGGGAACGCATTCTCGACCTCATACTCATCAAGAGAAGACTGGAGTAGGAGCAAAGTAGTAGTGGAGAACGTGGTGTCCCTCTACACCGATAGCTAAAAATTGGGGAATTGATAAGGCTTTCAATCTCTCTAATTCAGCAACGGTCTTTCAGGCTGACTGACTTGCCATAAGGGAAGCAGTCGAACTTTCCTTAAGGCAGGACCTCCGGGGCAACAGAGTTCGAATCTACTCTGATAGCCAAGCGGATATAAAGTCCTCATCTGCTGTATTAAAAAGAAAATACGATTAGTGGCAGACTGCAAGAAGGCCTCTAATAGACTTGCCGACATAAATAAGGTACAAGTAACATGGGTACCGGGACACAACGAGATCCCGGGAAACGAGAAGGCAGGCGAACTAGCCCGTGCAGGCTCGGCAAGGCTAAGTTCAGACTTCAAGTTACCGAACCAGGGAACTGCTATCCAACAGCAAGAGGAATATTAGCAGGACCACGGCAGTCACCACGGGACATTGGGCGATCGGTTCGCACGCAATGAAGTTGGGACCGCCATACAATGCAATCTGTAGAAGCTGTAAGCAACGTACAGAGCAAGAGACACCGAAACATCTGCTCTACTTCTGCCCAGCGCTGAATCACATCAGACTTCGCCACTTTGGTGCCTACCAGATGGAGTCACTGGGAAGCATAGGAAAGCTGAAAGTTTCGGCAATCCAAGGTTTCCTTACTGATGGTACTGGTGGTACTGATAGTGAACAACAACAACAAACAGAGGAAGTGGATCGAAAAGGAGCTTAGCCCTAATTCGAGGCCCCAGTATTGGGCCTGACCACTGAAACCTACTTAACTAAATAAATAAATAAATATATAAATAAATAAATAAACAAATAAATAAATAAATAAATAAATAAATAAATAAATAAATAAATAAATAAATAAATAAATAAATAAATAAATAAATAAATAAATAAATAAATAAATAAATAAATAAATAAATAAATAAATAAATAAATATATAAATAAATAAATAAATAAATAAATAAATAAATAAATAAATAAATAAATAAATAAATAAATAAATAAATAAATAAATAAATAAATAAATAAATAAATCTATATATATAAAAATGCTCTGTTCGTGTCTACATCCTTCTGAACCGTTTAAGCCCAAATTTTTACACAACATGCGTTGAGGTTCCAGCTCGGTTATTGACTACTTTTGATGTTGATAGCTTATCTGCGGTGGTGAATATATCTATTTTTTTAGCGTTTCCAAGTGCCCCTACTGCTGCGCCCTCTACAAGCAAATCAAAGCATTTCCTGTCAAACATTAAAAACATATTGAAAGAAGAAATTGGAGATACAAATTTTATTTTTTGTTCAGGTTCAGTAAGAAACGAAGTCATGCCACCAAAGAAGTCGAGATTGGGCCGTCGTATTCGCAATACAGAAACAAAAAGACGTAAGATTGCGAATATGACTGACGAAGAACGGGCCTCCATCCGAGAGACGCGGCTGCGCGATGAACTTTTACTCATACAGGTTAATGGTTCGGAGGACCGATTGCAATCATATATTGAAATGTCGTCAGTTGTTTCATCAGTACATTGTCGATATGTATGCAAAAATTGAAACAACGTTAGCTGTTCCTCCGATTGAATCAGAAGAAACTTCGGTCCGAGGAATATATACATTTGCGGGATGCTGTGATGAATGACCGTAATACAACCAACGTTGGAAAGCTCACGATTTTGCCATCCTCATACATAGGTAGTCCACGCCACATGCATGAATATGCTCAAGATGCCCAGGCATATGTTCGTTGCTACGACCGTCCAGACTTATTTATCACCTTTACATGCAATCCATCTTGGGACGAGATAGTTCAGCTGTTATTTCCTGGACAATCATATAGGGATAGGCATGACATCACAGCCCGTGTTTTTAGACAAAAGCTCAAGTCACTGATGGATTTCATTGTGAAACATGGAGTTTTGGGATCTGAGCGGTGCTGGATGTATTCAGTAGAATGTCAGAAGAGAGGATTGCCGCATGCGCACATACTGATTTGGCTGTATGATAAAATTACTCCAGACGAAATTGACAATGTGATATGCGCTGAGATTCCACGGGCAGAGGTTGATACAGATTTGCATGCAGTTGTCATCAAGAACATGATCCATGGCCCATGTGGTACCCTCAACCGAAGTTCACCATGCATGGTAGACGGGAAGTGTTCCAAGCGATATCCTCGAACATTTACAGCCAACACCGTAACAGGGGACGATGGATATCCTCTGTATAGGAGACGGTCAACTGAAGATGGAGGGACTTCGGCAACTTTAAACATGAGAATTGGTGATATTGAGGTAGACAATCGTTGGGTGGTTCCATACTCAACACTATTGTCAAAATCATACAAAGCGCACATCAACGTAGAATATTGCAATTCCGTGAAATCGATTAAATATATCTGCAAGTACGTGAATAAAGGCAGCGATATGGCAGTTTTTGGTGTTCAGGCAGAAAATGGGGACAGCAATGCAGTACGAGTTGTCGATGAAATATCTCAATACCAGGCTGGAAGATACAAAAGCAGCAACGAGGTTGCATGGAGAATTTGTTCGTTCCCCATTCATGAACGCTATCCAGCTTTAGTTCACTTGGCAGTCCATTTGGAGAATGGTCAACGTATCTATTTCACAGAAAGAAATGTGCAAGAAAGAGTCCTGAATCCGCCAGCGACAACTCTGACTGCCTTCTTCACCTTATGCCAATATGCCACAGAGAAACGTGGCAGGGTACAGCTAGTAAATAAATAAATAAATAAATAAATAAATAAATAAATAAATAAATCAATAAATACATAAATAAGTAAATAAATAAATAATTAATTAAATAAATAAATATATAAATATAACGAAACGCATTCAGTAAAAAATGAATTCATGGCACTGTCAAAAATATCCACGGCAACTGCCATGTCAGTGCACATGTATAGATCAGACCAATTGAACTCATTCATAAAATTATTCAGCCGTTCAAAGTCCGTTTTGCGAAAACATAGGACTTTATTGGCTGGACGGTCAGAAATATTCTGTACGTCACACCCAATATCAAGAGTCACATCGAAAGTTGGATGATAAGGATCTTCGGGCTGCGTCAGAGGCGCCACCCTTGCTAAACTGACTCTCGCAGGATCAGAGACGAAGCAAAGATCGAGCAAGCCATGTTGTGTAGGTGTATGGAGAGTATTGGTGGAATTATTTGAGCACCAAATAGCACCAGGGATATTAAAATCTCCTAGAACTACCAACTGGTCTCTATCCAAAAGTCTACTGGAAACCATTTGAATAGCGGAAAGGTGATTCCAATAAATAGGAAGTTCCGACAGTGGAGGTATGTAGGAACAGGTAATAAAAATGGAGCTACCTTTGATAGATAGCTTCACACAGAGGAATTCAACATCGTTGCATTCCTCAAAGGTTAATAATTCTGACGTGAGTGAGGAGTCCACCGCTATAAGAACTCCACCCCAGCGTCTGATAGGGCGATCTAGCCGATATACTGTGAACACAGCTGGAAAAACTTCGGAGCTCAGAATCTCCGGCTTTAACCAGGTTCTTGTGAGCACAATCACCTGAGATGCAAACGAAAGGCTATCAGAATACAAGTTAGGAAGCTTACTACGTAAGCCTCTTGCATTCTGATAGGAAATACCTAGGGAGTAGGTTAGTTTTTGGGTCGGGATTGGAAGACGTAGAAGGCGCAGTGGTATGATGTCGTCAAGCTTTGCGTGCGAAGGCAAACTAATGACATTCTCCCGTGTTGTTCCTAAGCTTGTGACTTACAAAAACTTGAAATTCTCATATCCTACCATAGTGGCATATAGTATGTAATTTGAATAATTTATTTATTATCTAAGATCATAAATCTAACACCTGAACATGTTTTGATTTTAAATTTAAAAAAAAAATATGACAATTAAGTTGAGCTTGAGTTAAATGGCGTCTAACCATGTCCAAAAGCATCTACTAAGTCTAAATCTTATTACAAAATTAATTAAATGATACATAAATATTCAATGCTTTATGGCCAAAAGCATCTACTAAGTCTAAATCTTATTACAAAATTAATTAAATGATACATAAATATTCAATGCTTTGTGTATCATGATGGATAGTGCAGAAATAATCATATATCCACTAATATCGGAGCACTGAAATGATATTATCTGTAATATCGCCCTCTTATTGGTTATTGTTTTAATACAGAACAGTGTAATATAATTGTCTTAATAACCTTTGTTGCTTGACGATTATGTATTAATCATTAAATATCTGTATTACTTACCCGATATTGGCCTAAGTTGTCAACCACACAAGTAAATGATATGTCCCTTCCTTGGGGTACTGTTATGTTTGTTAAGTGTGCTAAAAATTCTGGACCGATATCATCCGGATCACCGTGACCTTAAATGAAATAAATTGACCCAAATTATATTGTAGAGTAATAGAATAAAATTAGAGGGTAAAAAGGCAACACTGTATATGGAAAAGTTTCGCAAAATCGGAAAATATCTGAATCTTTTGAGTTGTTGAAAAGCAAAGGTTAATTTTTATATTCTTGCAGGGTTATATAATATCGGTCACAAGTTTGCAACTTAGTGAAGGAGTCATATATATATTCTTGATTGCATCAACGACCGAGCCGATATAGATATATCCGCATGTCCGTCCGTCTGTCTGTCTCTCCGTTTCTATCAAAATTAGTCCCTGAGTTTTAAAGCTATCTGAATGAAACTTTTTAGTTAGTCCTTTCTATAAGTCGGAACGTATATAAGTTGGAACGGGCCGGATAGGATAACTAGATTGAAGTCTAGTGAATGTTAATTTAAGGCGAAGGCGGGAGCGCAATAAACCATCGTGTAAGCAAATGATAATTGAATTTGAACACACGTCATTGTTTTTGCTTTGCCAAATAAAACAAAAATAATGTGTTTCCTTTCCACCAAGAATTAGATTTTTTAATTAAAAAAAAATATTAGCAAACAATCGTGTCGTGAAATACTCTGTTTTGGGCTTAATTGCTGCCATCACCGAGGGATTTCCACTAATGAGGAAAGGGGCTCCTGAAGTATATATATATTTATATATAACATATATCAGGAATCTGAGGCATTTGTCCAAAAATTGAAAGCTGGAGTTGGAGATATACAATTATTAATTGTGCTAAAATATTGCATCTCGCTTTCAATTCTTGACACTTAGCCATTTACTAGAGTTAGATTTTATATATACCATTTTATATATACCATGCATGCCTGTCATCAGTAATTCATCAACGTTTCATCAACAGTCAAGAGGGAGCTGTTGATGATTCATCGATGACAGGCCATACAAACTGTCATCATCAATAAAAATGTATTAATAATTAATCGATGATTCATCAACAATTCATCGATGATTCATCAACAATTCATCATAAATTCATCGATGTTTCATCAAAAATTCATTGATGTTTGATCAACAAATTTCTCAACGGCCGGGCCATGGTACTGCCGACGACTGCCGTCTAGACTACCGCCGTAGCTGTATCGTGGGCAGAGCGTCGACTCGGTAGAAGTCGCAGTCGGCGCGTTGATGACAGTCGATGACAGTATTGTTTTAAAATTACATACTTACTTATCTTAAAAATGGACCGCTCTTTTACACAACATTTATTTATTTTTTTTATGTATTAATTAATGCCACAAAAGGAGGTCGGCCGCCCCATACTCCAACGGTGCAAACGTTATTGTTGTTGGGCCCCTTTGTTTGGCGCTCTTAGATTAGCGGACCACCCACGCGCTACCCTGTTTTCGTCGGGTATTCTCATGTTTGGCCATTTGATTGGCCGACCGCCAAGTGACGCGCTATCCTTTATTGTTCGAGTATGCACATTTCGGCGTCACTCACTATTAATATTGACACTGCGAGACCCGATTTTCAATTTAAATAATTTTTTCGTTGCTGTTCTCATCAGAAAAAATATTTTAAGAAACTTTTCGAATTAAAAAATATATATATATATTGTAACGAAAACCGCTAGATTAGAATAATCCGCGATATTTGTAACCGTTGGCAACGCGAGAAACCGCGAAATCCCTTATAGGCGCAATTATGAGAGCTTTTGACAGCCAGGATGCCTGGTCTCTCTAAGCGCTCTCGATTTCCTTCTCTTTTTCTTACGGACGTGTCCGGAAAAGCACGCGTCTCTGATCACCAATAAAGAAAAGCTAAGTAATAACCACCTTTCCACATGGGGCCAAGTGTAGATTTGGACGAGTGAGTGGGTCAGACCGGGTTCTAGGCAGCCACACCTAATAAAAATTTCCGCTCGGCTTTCCGTAATGAACTCTGCCTGAACAGGGAGAGCTGCGAGAAGGAGTCGCAGCGATGGACGCCGTGGACCGAGCCGTTGACCGCTCGTTCCGGCGAATGGAGCAGAAAGTGGACGCGTTGGATCAGTCGCTCCACCTTAAACTGGAGCAGAAGTTTGAGCAAATGTGGGCGACTTTTGAGAGGACTATGCTGGGTGACCGTTCTGGAAGCAACGGCAGCCAGCAGGCCCTCCGTTGTGGTAGCATGCCGTCAGCCGGGGACGATCGACATTCTGCGAGCACCCCGCGCGTAGTCGAGGCATCGAACGTGGACTCCGGACAGGCGCGGCAGGTGTTTCATCGAGGGATGGGTACCGGGCCAGGTGCAGCACCAATCTCTGCGCCGCCTACAGCGTGCGACCTAACCTCACATTGGGGAATTTTGGAAGTGTCGGACGCAGAACTACCGCCCACCTTCGACGGCACCCGTCCCTGGCCGAAATTTCAGCGCCTATTAGATGACATGGCCGAGGAATACCACTGGTCAGAGAGAAAGAGGTGCCGGAAGCTGTATACAAGCCTTCGAGGGCGTGCCCAGCGTTTTCACGCCACCCTCCCAGAGGCCACACTCCGCTCGTGTGACGCCGTAACCGCCGCCATGCGCGAATATTTCACCGTCGGCAAGCATGCCGGCTATCACGCCTTTCATAATCGGATGCAAGGACCACGAGAGTCCTTCGAGGACTTCGCAATGGAGCTGGAGCGTTTAGGCAGATGCGTCCTGGGCGAGTTACCGCCCGCGACTTACAACAGCATCATAGTACAACGCTTCATCGATGGGATCCGGGAGACCGGATACCAGGTCCCTATCATCAGCAGCAATCCGCGCTCGCTGACCGAGGCTCTGGACATGGCCTGCCGCATCGAAGCACAATGTCGACGACGCCCAGCGGCCACCGTGATGACTGTCGCCGCCGTGCCTACAGCCGATCACTTCGGCGCATCCCGAGGAGGAAATCGAGGCCCGCACAGAAACGAAATGGCCGGCCCAAGCTCCTCCCGGAATCCCGTGTCGTCCTCGGGAAACTAACTGCCGTCAACTTCTCGGGGCGGAGGTTGACATCCCACACCAAAAGCCCCAGCGAATATCCGCTCCCCACGTCTCCTACCCCTCTTTGTGCACGGAATCCTGGACCGGAATCCTACCTCTGCGACCCTACGCAGCACCTCATTGCGCCGCCGCCGCCGCCCAATGAGCAACCTGTCGCCCGCCACAATCTTCCTCCTAAGGGAATCGAAGCCGGCCTGGCCCCCTTGCTCTCGCCGCCGCGGCCCAAGAATGCCGCCCCGTCCCCGAGTGTAGAGCTTTCCGCCATCCGGAACACCGCCACGCGACGCCGACCAAGAGTGTCGTCGAGCACCCCCCAAATAACCGATGTCCCAACGGGCCCCCTTCAAAGAAAGCGCCCGGACACGGTATTTCTCTTCATTCACGGAACCGAATTCCTACCTCTGCGACCCTTCGCCGCACCTCAGGCGAGACCGCCTTCCGCCCGCCGTTCTGCCCAAGGACTTCGATCCGAACTACAACCTCCGCCGAGTACTATGGAACAGTATCTCCGCCGCCAGCCGAGGAAGAGGATGCGGACCCGACCCATGTGGACTCCATCTTGAGCCGTTTGTTCGCCGAACGCCCACCTGAAGAACCACCCCCCATCCCATTAACTGCGGGGAACTGGAGGAAACCTGGAATCCTGACCCTGAGCTTCGCGGGATCCAGCCTCCACCCAGTCAAGCTACGTATACGTGTAGTGCCGCTAGTGGCCCACATTTTCATTGTTTGATGTTTTTACAGAAGCATCCGGTTCGCCTCATCGTCGACACCGGAGCCGCTGTCTCTTTACTAAATCGTAGCGTTCTGCCAGAACGACTGCCGAGCACACCATGCCGAGTGACTCTACAAGGACCCTCGGCAGAACAATTCGTGTCCACCACTCGAGTCAACGCCAGACTGCCGGAAGGCCGGTCACCCACGAATTCCTACTGATGGAGGGCAGCACTCCTAGCCTCTTGGGTATGGACTTTCTGCTGCGCCATGAGGCCACCGTGGATCTAAAGGATCTTCAGTTACGACTCCCGTGGGGATCTCTGCCTCTATATGCCCCGGATACCCAGCATCGAAATTTGCTTTATTCGACTGCACCCACCAGTATCCCGCCACATAGCGACACCCACGTAGCAGTGCGATGCAGGTCGGAAAAACTGCTTCCTCTGGCTTTGCTGGAACGTGGGAAAAGTTCTCAACTGCCACCCCATGTTCTACTAGGCAGCACTTTGGTGGACACCTCCAACGACACCAACACCCTGCACCTAGTGAACCTTAGCGCACAGGAATACCTGCTACCCGCGCAGATGATAGTGGGACAGGTGGAGCACGTGGAACCCATGCCCACCTCGATCCCAGAAGTAGACGGGGCCGGAGCATCCTTCCACGCAGAGGTGCCCCCGGATTTGCCGGCCCACCTTCACCCAAAATGGACGGCACTGATCGGCCGTTTCCACCGGGTGTTTGCCAGAAACGACGATGACTCGGGACATACCGATTTAACACGGCATGTCATAGACACGGGTCAATCTCGACCAATTAAACAACCAGTGCGTCGCATAGCGATGGCAAGAAAGGACGAGGTAGAGCAGCTCGTCGCCGACATGAAGACTAGAGGCATAATTCGGCCGTCCACCAGCCCATGGGCCTCGCCGATTGTCCTAGTAAAGAAAAAGGACGGTTCCACACGGTTCTGTGTTGATTATCGACGTCTGAACGACATCGCCGTCAAAGATTCATACCCCCTACCGAGAATGGACGACATCCTCGCCACTATGCACGGAGCCTGCTGGTTCCATGGACCTCCAGAGCGGCTACTGGCAAGTGGAGATGGACGAGGACTCTAGACCTAAGACCGCGTTTACGTGTGACGCTGGTCTGTTCGAATTCAACGTAATGCCGTTTGGCTTGACCAACGCGCCAGCCACCTTTGAGAGATTGAGGGACGGATTGTTCTCCGGTTCTACAAGGAAATTCACCCTGGTGTACCTCGACGACATCATTGT